AATTACATGCCTCTCCTTACAGATCTATATTTATGTGCCACTACATGGAATATATATATATATATATATATATATATATATGTCAGTTTGAAAAGGTATAAATGGCAAGCAAACGCGCAAACAGGAAAGCCAAGCGAGGGGAGCGGAGTGGAGGGTGAGCCCTGACCTCTCTCTTGAGCGCCTCGCTCTCCACGTGCCGCAGGTTGTTCTTGGCCTGGACGTAGATCTCGGCGGTGTGCTGGGCCTCCTCGGGGGGGCTGGGGGCCGGGTACCCCGGGGGCGGAGGGGGCCCCTTGGGGTCCGGGCAGGAGGAGGGCGGCGGGGGGGCCGGGAAGGTGGGCGGCGGGGGAGGCGGGGCAGACCCCCCGGAAGACTCCGCCCCCTTCTTGCCCCCCGGCCCCACCTCTGGGTTCAGCAGGTCCATGTAGGTCTGCATGTCCGAGATGGTCGTCTCCGGGATTCCTGCAGAAGGAGAGGGAGAGAAGCTGAGCGGAAGTGGACATCCACCCTGCAGAGTTGACGTGGTTCAGAATCCATCTATCTATTCATCCATCTATATATCTATCCATCCATCCATCCATCTATCTATCCATCCATCCATCTATATCATCCATCCATCCATCCATCCATCCATCCATCCATCCATCCAACCACCCACCCACCGACCTATCTATCTATCTATCTATCTATCTATCTATCTATCTATCCATCCATCCATCTACATACCTATCCATCGATCACTCTATCTATCCATTTTCTATCCATCGATCAGTCTATCTATCCATCCATCCATCTATCCATCGATCTATCTATCCATTGCTCTACCTACCTAACTACTTACCCACCCATCCATCCATCTATCCATACATTGATCTATCTATCTATCTATCTATCTATCTATCTATCTATCTATCTATCTATCCATTCATCCATCCATCTATCTATCTATCAATTGCTCTATCCATCCATCCATCCATCCATTTATTCATCCATCCATCCATTGATCTATCTATCTATCTATCTATCTATCTATCTATCTATCTATCTTCCATCTATCCATTGATTGATCTATCTATCTATCTATCTATCTATCTATCTATCTATCTGTCTATCTGTCCATCCATTGCTCTTTATCTATCTGTCTGTCTGTCTGTCCGTCCGTCCGTCCGTCCATCCATCCATCTATCTATCTGATCTATCTGATTATCTATCCATCCATCCATCCATCCATCCATCCATTTATCCATCTATTTATTTATCTTCCTCTCTCTCTCTCTGTCTGATTATCTATCTATATCTATCTATCTATCTGATTATCCATACATCCAGCTATCCATCCATCCATTCATCCATCTATTATCTTCCCATCTTTCCATCCATCCGTCCATCTGTATGTCTGTCTATCTATCTCTCCATCCATCCATCTCTCAAACATTCCACTATCTCTATCTATCTATCTATCCATTGATCTACCTACCTACCTATCTATCCATCCATCCATTGATCGATCTATATCTATCTATCTATCTATCTATCTATCTATCTATCTACATACCTATCCATCGATCAATCTATCTATCCATTGATCTATCTATCCATCCATCCATCCATCCAATCAATTGCTCTATCCACCAACTATCTGTTTATTCATCAGTCCATCCATCCATCCATTGTCTCTATCTATCTACATACCTATCCATGGATCGATCTATCTATCTGTCTGTCTGTCCGTCCATCCATCCATCCATCCATCCATCCATCCATCCATCCATCCATCCATCTATCTATCTATCTATCCATCCATCCATCCATCCATCTATCAATCAACTGCTCTATCCATCCATCTATTTATTAATCTGTCCATCCATCCATCCATCCAGCTATCTATCTATCTATGAATCCATCCATCCATCCACTGATCGATCTATCTATCTATCTATCTATCTATCTATCTATCTATCTATCTACATACCTATCCATGGATCGATCTATCTATCTGTCTGTCTGTCCGTCCGTCCGTCCATCTATCCATCTACCTATCCATCCATCCATCCATCCATCCATCCATCCATCCATCYATCCATCCATCTATCTCGTGATCYATCYMSTGATCYATCYAYYKATCTATCTATCTATCTATCTATCTATCTATCTATCTATTTATCCATCCATCCATCCATCCATCTATCAATCAATTGCTCTATCCATCCATCTATCTATTTATTCATCAGTCCATCCATCCATTGATCTATCTATCTATCTATCTATCTATCTATCTATCTATCTATCTCTCCATTGATCAATCAATCAATCTATCTATCCATCCATTGATCTATCTATCTATCCATCCATTGATCGATCTATCGATCTATCTATCCATCCATCCACCCATTGATCAATCTATACATCTATGTATGTATGTATGTATGTATGTATGTATGTATGTATCTATCTATCTATCTATCTATCTATCTATCTATCTATCTATCTATCTATCTATGTGGGAGTTGGATTGGATGGCCTTTGGGGTCTCTTCCAACTCTAGGATCCACGACTCTATCTATCTATCTATCTATCTATCTATCTATCTATCTATCCATCCATCCATCTACATACCTATCCATCGATCACTCTATCTATCCATTTTCTATCCATCGATCAGTCTATCTATCCATCCATCCATCTATCCATCGATCTATCTATCCATTGCTCTACCTACCTAACTACTTACCCACCCATCCATCCATCTATCCATACATTGATCTATCTATCTATCTATCTATCTATCTATCTATCTATCTATCTATCTATCCATTCATCCATCCATCTATCTATCTATCAATTGCTCTATCCATCCATCCATCCATCCATTTATTCATCCATCCATCCATTGATCTATCTATCTATCTATCTATCTATCTATCTATCTATCTATCTTCCATCTATCCATTGATTGATCTATCTATCTATCTATCTATCTATCTATCTATCTATCTGTCTATCTGTCCATCCATTGCTCTTTATCTATCTGTCTGTCTGTCTGTCCGTCCGTCCGTCCGTCCATCCATCCATCTATCTATCTGATCTATCTGATTATCTATCCATCCATCCATCCATCCATCCATCCATTTATCCATCTATTTATTTATCTTCCTCTCTCTCTCTCTGTCTGATTATCTATCTATATCTATCTATCTATCTGATTATCCATACATCCAGCTATCCATCCATCCATTCATCCATCTATTATCTTCCCATCTTTCCATCCATCCGTCCATCTGTATGTCTGTCTATCTATCTCTCCATCCATCCATCTCTCAAACATTCCACTATCTCTATCTATCTATCTATCCATTGATCTACCTACCTACCTATCTATCCATCCATCCATTGATCGATCTATATCTATCTATCTATCTATCTATCTATCTATCTATCTATCTATCCTATCTATCCATCTATCTATCTATCTATCTATCTATCTATCCATCCATCCAATCAATTGCTCTATCCACCAACTATCTGTTTATTCATCAGTCCATCCATCCATCCATTGTCTCTATCTATCTACATACCTATCCATGGATCGATCTATCTATCTGTCTGTCTGTCCGTCCATCCATCCATCCATCCATCCATCCATCCATCCATCCATCCATCCATCTATCTATCTATCTATCCATCCATCCATCCATCCATCTATCAATCAACTGCTCTATCCATCCATCTATTTATTAATCTGTCCATCCATCCATCCATCCAGCTATCTATCTATCTATGAATCCATCCATCCATCCACTGATCGATCTATCTATCTATCTATCTATCTATCTATCTATCTATCTATCTACATACCTATCCATGGATCGATCTATCTATCTGTCTGTCTGTCCGTCCGTCCGTCCATCTATCCATCTACCTATCCATCCATCCATCCATCCATCCATCCATCCATCCATCTATCTCGTCCATCCACTGATCTATCTATCTATCTATCTATCTATCTATCTATCTATTTATCCATCCATCCATCCATCCATCTATCAATCAATTGCTCTATCCATCCATCTATCTATTTATTCATCAGTCCATCCATCCATTGATCTATCTATCTATCTATCTATCTATCTATCTATCTATCTCTCCATTGATCAATCAATCAATCTATCTATCCATCCATTGATCTATCTATCTATCCATCCATTGATCGATCTATCGATCTATCTATCCATCCATCCACCCATTGATCAATCTATACATCTATGTATGTATATATGTATGTATGTATGTATGTATCTATCTATCTATCTATCTATCTATCTATCTATCTATGTGTGTCTATAGTCTGGTTGGACTGGATGGCCCTTGCCTCTTTTGTATTATCCATCCATCTATCTATCTATCTATCTATCTATCTATCTATCTATCTATCTCTTCTATCTCTTCTTTCTATCTCTCTATCTATCCTTCGCTCCAACATTTCTAAACCTTCACAACACTTCGATCTTATTTATTAATCTTTTGATTGGCGCTTGTCTTTCAATGGCCAGTGCAGTTTCCTGAAGCCCACCAGGGGGCGCCCTTCCTTCTTCATAGAAGTATTAATAGCGAGGAGACTGGGTGGCCATCTGTCGGGAGGGATCGGTGGGTGCTTTTAATAATAGGATGGTCTTTAGGGACATCTTTTTCAACTCCAGGATTCTATGGCTAAGTCTTCCTTCTCCATAACAGTAATAATAATATATAATAATAATATATAATAATATAATAATAATATAAAATAATAAAACAATAATAATATAATATATATATAATATAATAATAATAATAATATAAAATAATAATAATATAAAATGATAATGATAATAATAATAATAATAATATAGTATTAATAGTGATATAATACTAGATGGCCATCTATCGGGAGGGCTTGGATGGTGCCTTGAATACCTGGCAGAATAATAGGGTTGGACTGGATGGCCTTGAGGGGCCCCTCCCTCCCTCCCAAATATAGGATTCTATGACTCTCCATAAAAGTACTATGAGAACAGAGTGGCCATCTGTTGGGAGGGATCGGTGGATGCTATGAATCCCTGGAAAAATAATAGGGTTGGACTAGATGGCCTTTAGGGACCCCTTTTTCAACTCTAGGATCCTACGACTCTTAAGTCTTCCTTCCCCATAAAACTACTACTAATTATGGGACTGGGTGGCCATCTGTTGGGAGGGATCTGAGGGTGCTCTTAATCCCTGGCAATATAATAGGGGTGGGATAGATGGCCTTTAGGGCCCCCTCCCAACTACAAGATAAGACTCATAAAATCCTGTCTTACTTTTCCATAGCTATGAGGGCTGGATGGCCATCTGTTGGGAGGGATCAATAATAATACAATAATAATAATAATACAGTAATAATAATACAATAATTATAATAAAATACAATAATATAATAAAAATAAAATAAAATAATATAATAATAATAATACAGTAATAATAATACAGTAATAATAATACAATAATACTAATAATACAGTAATAATAAAAATAATATAATAATAATATAATAAAATACAATAAAATAATAAAAATATAATATAATATAATATAATATAATAATAATAATAATAATAATACCAATAATATAATAATAGGGGTGGACTAGATGGCCTTTAGGGTCCCCTCCCAACTATAAGATAAAATCCTGTCTTACTTTTCCATAGCTATGAGGGCTGGATGGCCATCTGTTGGGAGGGATCAATAATAATACAATAATAATAATAATAATAATAATAATAATAATAATAATAATAATACAGTAATAATAACACAGTAGTAATAATAATAATATAATACAATAAAATAATAAAAATATAATAATAATAATAATAATACAATAATAATAATATAATACAATAATAATAATAATAATAATATAATACAATAATAATAATACAATAATAATAACAATAATAATATAATAATAAAAATAAAATACAATGATAGGGATGGACTAGATGGCCTTTAGGGTCCCCTCCCAACTATAGGATTCATTCTCCATAAAACTACTAATATCAATGAGACTGGATGGCTATCTGTTGGGAGGGATTGGTGGGTGCTTTTAATAATAATAATGATAATAATAATAATAATAATAATAATAATAATAATAATAATAATACAGTAGTAATAATAATAAAAATATAATAATAATAATAATAATAATAATAATAATAATAATAATAATACAATAATAGGGATGGACTAGATGGCCTTTAGGGTCCCCTCCCAACTCTGAGATCATATGACTCTTAAGTTTTCCTTCTCCATAAAACTAACAAGTATGAGACTGTATGGCCATCTGTCGGGAGGGATTAGTGGGTGCTTTTAATCCCTGGTGGAATAATAGGGGTGGACTAGATGGCCTTTATGGTCCCCTCCCAACTATAGGATTCTATGGCGTTAAGTTTTCCTTCTCCATAAAACTACTATAATAATAATAATAATACAGTAATAATAATAATAATAATACAATAAAATAATAATAATAATAATAATAATAATAATAATAATAATACAATAATAGGGATGGACTAGATGGCCTTTAGGGTCCCCTCCCAACTATAGGATTCTATGACCCTAAGTCTTCCTTCTCCATAAAACTACTAATATATTCATATTATATTATATATAATATATTGATATTATATTATATTAGTATAATATATTATAACTAATTAGGATGGATGGTCCTCTGTCGGGAGGGATTGGTGGGTGCCTTTTAATCCCGGATACAATAACAGGGATGGACTAGATGGCCTTTAGGGTCCCCTCCCAACTATAGGATTCTATGACTCTAAGTTTTCCTTCTCCATAAAACTACTAATATATTGATATTATATTATATATAATATATTGATATTATATTATATTAGTATAATATATTATAACTAATTAGGATGGATGGTCCTCTGTCGGGAGGGATCGGTGGGTGCCTTTTAACCCTAGCAGAATAATAAGGGTGGACCGGATGGTCTTTAGGGGACCCTCCAAACTGTATGATCCCTATTGAATAGCCTTCCTTCTCTGTATGGACTGCTAATCGGTATGGGAGAGGCTGGCCCTCTGCGGGGAGGGGTCGATGCCTACGGGCCGCCTGTCCGCTTCCGCTGCTGCGCTTCCCGCCGCCGCCGCCCCCGGTGCTGGAGTGGCTGGAGTTGCAGGAGTCGTAGTTGGAGAGAGTGCTGCTGGGGGAGCCCAGCTCAAAGTGGGCCTGGGGGGCCGACATGGTGGTGTTGGGCGAGGAGAGGCCCGAGTCCGGCTGCTTGAACTCCAGCTCCGTGGAGGGGTCGCGGGACAGGACGCGGTGCTCCACGCTCTGCAAGAAAAGGAAAGATGGATCAATGCTTCCCAGAGCTCCCAGCAAACTCTGCTCCCTGCTTTCCCTGCTCCTAATGGCGAGATTCCATTGTTTACAGAGGAAAGGCAGGCAGCCTTTTTGGCTTTGTTTTCCTTTGCTTTGCTTCCTTCCACTGAATATGACTTACAAAACTAAATTTAGTTCCTTCTCCCTCTTTTCCCCCGCTCCTAATGGCGAGATTCCATTGTTTACAGAGAAAAGGCAGGCAGCCTTTTTGGCTTTGTTTTCTTTTGCTTTGCTTCCTTGCACTGAATATGACTTTGGGACCCTTCAGAGACTTACAAACCTAAATTTAGTTCCCTTTCCGTCTTTTCCCCCCACTCCTAATGGCGAGACTCCATTTGTTTACACTCAGGCAGCCTTTTTGGCTTTGTTTTCCTTTGCTTTGCTTCCTTGCACTGACTTCTGGAGCCTTCTGAGACTTGAAAACTAAAACAAAAAAAAATTGTTTTAGTTCCCTCTTCCTCTTTTCCCCCGCTCCTAATGGCGAGATTCCATTAATTTACAGAGGGAAGGGAAGGCACTCAGGCAGCCTTTTTGGCTTTGTTTTCCTTTGCTTTGCTTCCTTACACTGAATATGACTTCGGGAGCCTTCCGAGACTTACAAAACTAAATTTAGTTCCCTCTCCCTCTTTCCCCCCACTCCTAATGGTGAGATTCCATTGTTTACAGAGGAAACAAAGGCATTCAGGCAGCCTTTTTGGCTTTGTTTTCCTTTGCTTTGCTTCCTTGCACTGATTCGGGAGCCTTCCGAGACTTACAAAACTAAAACAAAAAAAGTTTTTGTTTTAGTTCTCTCCCCCTCTTTCCCCCCCGTTCCTAATGGCGAGACTCCATTTGTTTACAAAAGGAAAGGAAAGGCACACAGCCAGCCTTTTTGGCTTTGTTTTTCTTTGCTTTGCTTCCTTGCACTCAATATGACTTCGGGAGCCTTCCAAGACTTACAAATCTAAAACAAAAAAAGTATGGGTTCAATTTTGCTTTCTTAATTTTGGACGCAAACTGCACGTATGCGTCAGATATCATGTCCTAAGTATGAATAATACGAAACACATCCGACTTATGACACCTTCCGATTTTTTTCACATGCCTAATAGATAAATAGATAGATAGAAAGATTACTAGTTGGAAGAGACAAGAGATGGATGAATTCCCTGCTCCTAATGGCGAGACTCCATTTGTTTACAAAAGGAAGGCAAGGTACCCAGGCAGACTTTTTGGCTTTGTTTTCCTTAGATAGATAGATAGATAGATAGATAGATAGATAGATAGATAGATAGAGTTGGCAGCCTTTTTGGCTTTGCTTTCCTTTGCTTTGCTTCCTTGCACTGAATATGACTTCGGGAGCCTTCCGAGACTTATAAAACTAAAACAAAAAAAGTATGGGTTCAATTTTGAATTCCTAATTTTGGACGCAAACTGTGTGTGTGCGTCGGATATCATGCCGTAAGTATGAATCATACGAAACTCGTCCGAATTATGACACTTTCCGATTGTTTTGCACATGCCTAATAGATAGATAGATAGATAGATAGATAGATAGATAGATAGATAGATAGATTACTAGTTGGAAGAGACCCCAAAGGCATCTGGTCGAAATTCCTAAGAGATGGATGGATTGAAATATACACAGATAGATAGACAGACAGACAGACAGACAGACAGACAGACAGGTAGATATAGATAGATAGATAGATAGATAGATAGATAGATAGATAGATAGATAAGATAGATAGATAGATAGATAGATAGATAGATAGATAGATAGATAGATAGACAGACAAGAGATGGATGGATGAATTTCCCGCTCCTAATGGCGAGACTCCATTTGTTTACAAAGGGAAGGCAAGGTACTCAGGCAGCCTTTTTGGCTTTGTCTTCCTTTGCTAGATAGATAGATAGATAGATAGATAGATAGATAGATAGATAGATAGATAGATAGAAAAATAGATTACTAGTTGGAAGAGACAAGAGATGGATGGATGAATTCCCCGCTCCTAATGGCGAGACTCCATTTGTTTACAAAGGGAAGGCAAGGTACTCAGGCAGCCTTTTTGGCTTTGTTTTCCTTTGCTAGATAGATAGATAGATAGATAGATAGATAGATAGATAGATAGATAGATAGAAAAATAGATTACTAGTTGGAAGAGACAAGAGATGGATGGATGAATTCCCCGCTCCTAATGGCGAGACTCCATTTGTTTACAAAGGGAAGGCAAGGTACTCAGGCAGCCTTTTTGGCTTTGTCTTCCTTTGCTAGATAGATAGATAGATAGATGATAGTAGATAGATAGATAGATAGATAGATAGATAGATAGATAGATAGATAGATAGATTACCAGTTGGAAGAGACAAGAGATGGATGGATGAATTCCCCGCTCCTAATGGCGAGACTCCATTTGTTTATAAAGGGAAGGCAAGGTACTCAAGCAGCCTTTTTGGCTTTGTTTTCCTTTGCTAGATAGATAGATAGATAGATAGATAGATAGATAGATAGATAGATAGATAGATAGAAAAATAGATTACTAGTTGGAAGAGACAAGAGATGGATGGATGAATTCCCCGCTCCTAATGGCGAGACTC